GGTACAGGAGGACGTGGAACTGAGTGGACTTGCCGATGACTGGTACCAGCGGTGTCAAGATCGGCCTCTGTGGAGGAGGCTCGTGAAGGACGCTACTGGGCAGTTGGAGGCAGTCGCCCTCCAACAGCAACGGAGGGCGGAGGAGCGACGCTCACAACAACGAGCGGAGCGCCGGGTGGCTAAAGCACAGCAGGTTGGCACAGTAGGGGGCACAGGTGGTGCATCAGCCAATCATCTCAGTCAGTCGACCCGTGGCACCTGGGTCTGGCCGTGACCTCCTGCCAGCGGGCGTTCGACACTCCACGTGGCCTCAAGGTGCACATGGCCTGGCACAAGCGTCGTGGTGACGTCACCGCCACTTAGTGGCGAATGGCGGTTGTTGTTGTGTGTATCTGTGAGATAAAGATCCCCCATATAGCCTTAACAGACTGTAGGTGCTCACTAACAGCACTTGCCCCTACAGTCTGTTAAGGCTATATGGGGGATCTTTATCTTTGTCTTGTCTGTGAGAGAGTGTGTGAGAGTGTGTCTGGAGCCTAATGGCTTCAGTTTAACAGCAGAGGTCTCATTCCGAATCAGTCGAGCGGCAATAACTTTTCATCGGTTGCGTAACGCTGTGTGGAAGCTACCTGGTCTGTCGCTCCGCACTAAGCTTCAGGTCTTCTCGGCCACGGTCATTCCCTCCCTTCTCTACGCTTGCGAAACGTGGACCCCCCCCTAATGGCACATCTTCACCGGTTAGAAACATTTAGGCTGGCCTGCCTACGATCCATCCTGGGTTTAACCAGGCTGGATTGTGTGAGGAGCTCACAAATCCTTGAAAGATCTGGGCAAGGTCCCATCGGTGAGCTCCTCCGGCAGGCAAGGCTGCGTTGGCTGGGTCATGTAGCCCGCATGCCCAGCCACCGCATGCCGAAACAGCTTTTGCTCGGCCGGATCGAGGGGGCTAAACGGGCGCGGCACGGGTTAGAGAAGAGATGGAGTGATGTGGTACAGGAGGATGTGGAGCTGAGTGGACTTGCCGATGACTGGTACCAGCGGTGTCAAGATCGGCCTCTGTGGAGGAGGCTCGTGAAGGATGCTACTGGGCAGTTGGAGGCAGTCATCACCGAAGATGAACATCAGTGGAAGGACGCAGGCAATGCCAATGAGTCAGATGCCTTCTATGACCCTTTGTCCCAGATACTTGCTAATGTGGCCCCTCGGAAGTCATCCTGTTGGGTGTCTTTAATGTCCGAGTGGGTCAGGACACAGGCACTTGTGGGCATCCACCTCGGACCGCATTCAAAGCCAAAATAGCCTGGTCTCAGCTTGCTGATGAAGGTTGCAAGGACAATTTTCATCACCCCTGCTCCTCCTAATGCCGAGAGGAAATAGGTGAGGTTCAGGATTACTCATGTAACTGTTATGGCTGCATTCATCTGTGGTTGCGGGTTGCTGAGGAAATGGAAACTGCTTCGGCAGAGCGAGATCACAGGTTTCTCTATGATTATATCAAAAATGTAACCTGCAACACAACACCTATTACCGTCTTTTCGAGAAAGAGTGGTGATCGACTCCAGGAACAGGTCTGCAAGTTTTCTCAGTATATCTGTGAGTTATTGTGGGAGGGAAACTCCTTCAGTTCAGAATAACATTATGGGGCAAAGTCAGAGCCATTTTATGCTCACCTTAAGGTGCGACAGGGATAAGGTGCGACAGGGATGCAAGGTACATTTACCACGTTTGAGAAGCTTTCCATAGCTGTACCAGAGTAATTTAATTATTGTATAGATACAATGGGAGGCTGATCGATGCCCAGGTGCGGTCAAGACATGGCTCTCTACTAGTCAACTATGTTACGTATGCCGATGATCTGGTAATTGCTGCTCACTCCGAGGAGTTGAATAAATAGGGCCTTACCATCAGCCTTACAAAAACTAAGAACTTTCCTGGGGAGTGTGTGTCACCAAATGATCCCATCCCTCCCGTCTGTATAAGTGAAGGGAGTTGAAAAGTCTACATGTACCTGGGCAGTGTGCTTATGCCCAACTCCGGTTTGGCAGCAGAAAGTCTCCGAATCATTTGAGCAAAATTATGTTTTTATAAACTGCGTAATGCTGTGTGAAAACTACGTGTCGTATCCACTCGATATGCATCTCCAGGTCTTCTCGCCCACAGTTATGCCCTCCCTTCTCAAAGCTTGCGAAACATAGACCCGCTAAAGGAACATCTGTGCCGGTTTGAAACATTCAGCCTGGCCTGCCTACGATCCAAGTTGGCACAGTGGAGAGCACAGCTGGTGGCTCAACGAGCCATCTCAGTCAACTCAAGGCACCTGGGGCTGTCCCGTCACCCGTCAGCCTTCGACACTTCACGCGGTGGCTGTTGTTGGTGTGTCTGGGTGAATGTGTGGGAGAATATGTAGGGTGAGTGTGCTAGAATGTGTGAGAGTGTGAGAAAGTGTGTGAGAGAGTGTGTGAGAGAGTGTGCCTGTGTTTGAGGGATATGAACCCCTTCCCATGGCTGGAACTGGGTTCATATGGCTGACCCCGCTGCTGGGCACGCACGTGGAATATGAATGCGCAGGCCACGTGGAATATGAATGCGCGGACCACGTGGGGGGCTTTGTTCCAAATGTCACCCCCCCCCCCCCCCCCACGGTGGGGTGAGGGGGAGGTGGAGAGATGAAGGGGAAAGGGATATGGAGGAGATATTGAAGGGAGATTGAGGGGAGAGGGAGGAGGGGATGAGGTGAGCGGAGATGAAGGGGAGCTGAGCGCGGGGAGGAGGAGGAGGGGAGTTGTCGCATTTTTAAACAAAATTCACAAAACCACCTCGGATTTAGGAAGCGAAGGTCGCGCGCACCGCGCTCGACACCCCCGCACACCCCACCCCTCCTTCCCTCACCCTCCTCCCCTCGGTGATACTTACTGTAGTTAATTTGCTGTTTGATTGTATTAATTTGCTAATTGGTATGATCAGTGAGGTAATCAGCGGGTTACTTGATTATTTTACCGAATTTGTTAACTGCATGATTGATTGGTTGGTTAATTGATTGCAGATGCGTTAATCGGACGATTGGCTAATTGCCTGAGCTATTGTCCGGACGACTCATCGGTGTACTTGTTGATTGCTTGTTTTGTTAATTGAGTTGGGTTAATTGACTTGGCTGGCGCCGACTCGACACGAGTGTCCCCCCCCCGGCCCTCCCCTAATCACTCATTCTCGGCGTCTCTCCTCGTCCCAACAAACAGCGTCTCCATGGAAACCGGGCAGCGGGACCTGTTGCTCTGGAGACGAGATGGGGGATGTGAGAGGGGGGTGGGGGGGATGGAGAGTGGAGAGAGGAAGGAGAGACGGGGGAGAGTGAAGAAATGGAGATGGGATGGAGATACGGGGCAAGGGAGATAGAGGAGAAAGGGAGTGTAGAGAGTGGAGGGAGACAGGAGAGAGAGAGAGGGGAGAGGCAGGAAATATAAGGGAGGAGGAAAGGGGGAAAGGGGATGGGCGAGAGAGAGAGGAGAGTGAAGAAAGGAGATGGAGAGAGAAGGGAGAGGATAGAGGGGGGAGAAGGGAGAGGGGGGGGAGATGGATGAACTCATCGGGTAAACGTGGCAGTTGAAATGAAGAATGGACGCAGACAGCGAGAGGGATGGTTGAGTGAGTGATACAGCGAGTGAGTGATGGAGCGAGTGAGTGACGCAGCGAGCGAGTGAGTGACACAGCGAGTGAGTGATGGAGCGAGTGAGTGAGTGATGGAGCGAGTGAGTGAGTGATGCAGCGAGTGAGTGAGTGATGGAGCGAGTGAGTGAGTGATGCAGCGAGTGAGTGAGTGATGGAGCGAGTGAGTGAGTGATGCAGCGAGTGAGTGATGGAGCGAGTGAGTGAGTGAGCGAGTGAGTGATGCAGCGAGTGAGTGAATGATGCAGTTAATTATGCAGTGAATGATGCAGTGAGTGAGTGAGCGAGTGATGGAGCTAGTTATTGTGAGTGACGGAGTGAGTGAATGAATGATGCAGTGAATGATGGAGCGAGTGAGTGATGGAGCGAGTGAGTGATGGAGTGAATGATGCAGCGAGTGAGTGATGGAGTGAGTGAGTGATGGAGCGAGTGATGGAGCGAGTGAATGATGGAGCGAGTCAATGATGGAGCGAGTCAGTGATGGAGTGAGTGATGGAGCGAGTGAGTGATGGAGTGAGTGATGGAGCGAGTGATGCAGTGAATGATGCAGCGAGTGAGTGATGGAGCGAGTGAGTGAGCGAGTGAGGGAGCGAGTTATTGTGAGTGACGGAGTGAGTGATGTAGTGGAGAGACTGAGTGAGTTGTTAAGTGCGTGATTGAGTAAAGGAAGGAAAGAGAGATGGTATGAGCAATGGAATGATAAAATGAGGGATTGAGTGATGGAGTGAGAGTAAGTGAGTGGGTAAGCATCAGCGTCATCATCAGCATTATTAGTCTAATCAGCAGCACCTGCAGCTGTAACAAGTGAAACAGAAACAGTATTGTCATCAGCAGCAACATCATCAGCAGCAGGAGGAGCAACAGGTGAAACAGCAGAAACGTCTTCGCGGGATGAACTCATCGATGCCCGAATTAATTAATGAATTAATGACCTAGGGCGGCCTCGGCGAGTCTCAAGGCTCGTGTCGAGGAGGGCCCTGCCACAACGGGACGTGTGGTCATGGATCCCATCAATGGTCGAATCGCTCACACGGGGAGTGGGCGAGGAACCTCGCTCCGCATGGGACGGAGCCCGGAGAGTCCACTCGGGCGGTGCCTTCAAGACGAGAGCCTCGTGGAACACAGGGAGAGCTGCCGCTGGGGGTGCCCACGGCTAGACCACACAGCAGCACCGCCCCGTGCTGCGTGACCCGACCGCGGGCCGTGTGTGGGTCACAGCGGCGCCTCCCTGCGTGACGAGACTCGGCCTGCGATGACGGCGTGGATAACAAATGTATTCGTCTTGCATTAGCACACACGCCACAAACACACGGGGAGATCCGCACAGATGGATTCACCTGTCGTCCGCAGGCCACACCTGGTCGCCGAGCAGGAGGTCCCTGAATCGGTATCGAGGGGGTAGAGGGGGGACCTCGCTCTCCCCGTTAGCCATGGCGAGGGGGGCCCGGGGGTGAGGGGTTCAGGGATCTCGGGAGAAGGGCGGGCGGGGGAGGTGAAGAGGAGGGGAAATTGGGCCCGGGACAGGGGAACCGGGACCCTCTATGTTTAAGGGACTCGGAATAGGGGGACATTGGATCTGGAGGAGGGGGAAGGGAACCCGGGAGGGAAAGGGGACCCAGAGGAGAGCAATGGGGATCTGAGAAAGGGGACTCGGAGTTCTCCTTGGAAGCAGCGCGCCTCGCTCCTGCGCGCCCACAGCGAGGAGTGCAGAGGCGAAACTGCTCTCTCCCTCTCCCTCCCCTCCCTCCCTCTCCCAACTCCCGCTTCACCCCTCCTCTGCGCTTCCAGAGCCACCCAATTCCCTCTCTCACGCATGCCCCTACCCCACTCACTAACGCCCTCCCTCCTCAATCTCTCCACCTTCCGTGATCCTCTTCACTCCGTCCCTCCATTGTCGCCCAACTGCCCTCCCTCTCACTCTAGCCTCGACTCAAATCTCCACTCCGTCTTCACACTCGCCCTCTCCTCTCCGTAAGCGCCATCACCTCCCACCACCCTCCCTTCTCTATCACCATCATCCATACCTCTTTTTCAGCTCAATCACTTCTCTTCCACCCTCCCCTCGACACCGCCATCACCTCCGCTCCATCACCACCTCCAATCACCCCCCACATCCCTTCCCTTCAACATCAGCCCCACCCCTCTCCATCTCCTGCAACCACCACCATCACTTCCTCTTCTCCGCTCTCCCATCACCATCGCCACCTCCCTCCCTCCCTCCTGACCAGCGCCATCAGTAAACCACTCCTCTGTGGGATCTCGCGCCAATCAGGAGTTCAGTGAAGGGGTAAATGCCCCCCCCGTCCGTCCTGTCGCTTAATTGGCCGCTAATTCGACGCCTCTGACACAGCACTGCACGTGCTGCTGCACCTGCACGTGCTGCTGCTTCCCCACGCATCGCACTCATTGCTCTCTCAGTCGTGTGCAGGACTCATCCCGGCACACGAGGCGGGGGCGAGAGCAGCAGCAGCAGCACAATAAATACTCGTTTCAGGCCGAGTATACCTAGAGGAAGCCCTGTGTAGAACTGCCACTGCGAGAAACCCCACACTGAGGATCTGCACGCTTCTCGTCTTGCGTGGCCGCCATCACCAGCAGCAGCCATGGTCAATCCACTGCTGGATGATGGCCTCCCCCAAATCCCACGATCCTGCGATATAATCCTTCGGGGTCGTTAATAGCTAAACCGCAGGTCATTTTCAGAATTGGTTAACCGTTCAAAACAGTGAGGAACCGGTTTCCGATTGAAGTGGAGTGTAATGAAGGCACTGATTGCTTTGCGCGGACCTATAGACTGCACCGCGCAGGCCTAAGTCTCAGCGTGGTTCACATTCCCTCCTCTCTCAGTTGACAATGAAACGTGCAGCAGTAGCAATTGCTTTCTCACGCCGCTGCTCGAACGGCTCAGAAATGTTCAGAAAATCTGCAGACCTCATCCTCGGGGTCGAAGGTTGGATCACCATTTTTACATGGCAGGTGAAATGTACGGGTTGAAAACTTTATTATTGTTATTTTGTATTTACTCCGCTTGCTTACCCATGAAAGCCTTACCAAGTCTCAAGATTCGATTTCTTGAGGCCCGACGAGGCCTTCCTGGTCACACACGCAGTAATAGCGACATCATTATTAAATAGCGATTCCTTTCTTTGGCTCAGCGAGTGACACACTTCCCTTGAGCGCCACTTGGCAGCGCCGTCGCCTCCATCGCTACCTCACGACCTCCTCTCGTCCACATCCACCGCTCAACACCGTCCTCTGGGAACCCACCGTGACGAATACCTTTCTCCAATTATGTTTAAACCTTTATTTCTCCAATAGAATATTCGTTGATATACAATCTAAACATTCTGCAAGTTGCTGGGCGACAGCGTTTCTCCAGTTGGGACTGCCGGTCATCTCAATCACTCAACCCATACAACGCCTAGGTCTGTCCCGTGACCTCAGACCAGGTGCCTTGCGTTGACTGACTCGAGATGACTGGCAGAAAAGCACTACCCATGCCCTCTACTATGGCAACCTGCTGCGTTTATCCCGGCGCTCCACTCACTGTGATCGTCGCTCCTCCGCCCTCCATTGTTAAAATACACACACACACTTGAACACAAAGATCCCCCACATAGCCTTAACAGACATTTGAAACAAGTGCTGTTAGCGAGTACCTATGAAGGTCGGTATGGCACACAAAGGGGTTCGGTGGCCAGCACCACGCCCGGCCGCCTTTGTCTCCCTAGTTGTGATGTTCACACATCGCACCAGATACTCATTTGAGGCGGAGTCGTCTTCGGGGAGGCTCAGGAACGATTCAGGTAATCGTCACTGGCCATGAGTGGGAATCGAATTCGGGTAGCGGGTTTGTAGCACAGTGGGCTAAGCACTGACTACCGGTGCACATACTCACATACACCCACAGACACAATGTAATTAAGACATGAAGCACAGCAGGAGTGGACTGAGTGTGACACCAGTCACGTTTAATGAGTCAAGAACCTGGCAGGGGGCCTTCCGCCCACCCCTCCGTACCCCAAACCTCAGTGTCCATGAACGTCACAACCGGGCAGCTGGGTGAGCTTTCACCCAGCTGCCTCGACCTGGCTGCGTCCTTCAAGAGTCTTTACGACTTTCTGCTGCCGTGTTGTCTCCAATGGATCGACTAAAGCCCCCACCATAGTAACGTGGAATTTCCACCACCGGCTGATGAGCAGGAGGCGAGCACCATCCCAAGGTTCATTCGAGTAAGAAGGCGGCGCCGCCCACTATTGGCGCACGCACGCAGGCCGCCCGGAGGTGCGGCCGCCCCCGTCCGCGTGGCCCCGTCTCACGGGTGCTCTCCCCCGGCGCTAGTCGTGGAGGGCGGGGCCCCGCACGTCCTCCAGCGAGAGCAGGGCCCCCAGGTAGGCGTGGTCCCGCGACGCGGGGCCCCCCAGCTCGGCGCCGGTCACCGGGTGCAGCAGGCTGGCCGGCTGGGGCGCCAACCCGTACTTCTCCAGGAACTCCAGCTCCGAGGGCAGCGCTTCCCCCTCCAGCGTCGAGTCCGGCGCCAGCTCCGACGGCCCCCCCCGGCGGGGGGACGGCGGAGAGAGCTCCGGGGAGGGGGCCGGGGTCCCCGCCGCGTCGGCGCCGTCCGCTCGCGCCGACCGCCGCCGGGCGGTCTCGCCGTCCCGCGCCGCGGAGGAGGCGGCCGGCGAGGCCGACCGCGCCGGGATCGCGGGCGGCCGCGACGACGCCGGGGCGGGCGCCGGAGCGGCGGCCCGCTCCGGCGCCGGGCGCGGGCGAGGGGGCGCCGGCGGCGGGGCGAGCGCGACGCGGAGGTCGCCCCCCACGGCCTCGTCGTCGCCCGGCGCGCGTACGTACGCCGCCTCCAACGGCGATCCCTCGCTGCTCGCGCCGGGATCGGCGGCCGAGTCGGAGGGGCCGAGGGACGGCGGCGCCGGCTCGGCCTTGGGCCAGTGCACGTGGTCGAGGTGGTACTTCAGCTTGTCCTTGCGCTTGAAGGAGGCGCTGCAGTGCGGGCACGGGTAGGGCCGCTCTTCCGAGTGCGTCACCATGTGCTTGGCCAGAGACTTCTTGACGCGGAAGCCCTGGCCGCAGATGGAGCACTCGAAGGGACGCTCGCCTGCGCGCACAGATGGCGGCGCACGCGGTGCCAGCGTCACTGCTACGCCCGTTTACCCGGAACGGCCTCGCGAGTCTCAATACGCTTTTGCAGGAGGGTCCTGCCTAGGTTTCGCAGTAGAGGGGGGATGTTGCGGCTGTGGGTTATTCCTATTAAGTAATTTGCAGGTAATTGCTCAATAATGGGATATAGTGATCAATACAAGCATCATCATGTCATGACACAAGTTAGATTGTGCGTGGGGTTTTTTATGTTGGAGGAAACTGTCGAGCCTGGACGAAACCCATAGAGAATAGGGGGAGAGAATACGAACTGAGGCATACATCTTCTTTGGTTCTTTCGGTAAAGTCACGTAGAATGAGAATAAAATAATAAATTGATAAAATAAAATAACACAATAATATTCTCACGACGTTTCGGCCACAACACAAGCGGCCTTCATCAGGTGAAGGGGACGAGACTGTCTGGAGGACAGCGCACTCCAGCGCCGCTTGTGTTGTGGCCGAAACGTCGTGAGAATATTATTGTGTTATTTTATTTTATCAATGTATTATTTTATTCTCATTCTACGTGACTTTACCGAAAGAACCAAAGAAGATGAATCCTTGCAGTCACGAAAGCTTTAAATTGAGGCATACATCTTGGCCTCTTACAAACCAGCACCACCACACCGTGCGCACAGAACAGAGCATACACACACACCGCAGGTACCTGTCCTACCTGAGTGTGTGCGGGAGTGAATATCCAGGCTGGACTTCCCCTTGAACACTTTCTTACACACCTCACACTCGTGCAGGCTCGGCTTGTACCTGCAAAACAAAGACAAACATCCCCCGCTTAGCCACGCAAGACTGTAGGGGCAAATGCCGTTAACGAGCACCTGTTGAGGCCAGCCCTTGCACGCGAGGGAGAGGGTGTGGCCAGGAACCAAACGCTCGGATGCTTTTATCTTCCCGGTGCTGAACATGAGACATTTTATAATTATTTATTCGTATTATCGTGCTTGTCTCAATACTTTTTCAGGAGGGTCCTGCCAAGTTTTCGCAGTAGGGGGCGATGTTGCTGCTGCTGCTGTGGGTTATACCAATTGAGTGATAATCATTGGGATGTTTCAACCAAGACTTGCTACGCTGTACGGTGTTTCTTTAGCTACGAGAGGAGGAAACCTATGCAGAAAAGGGGGAGAACATTCACACTCCGCACAGACACGGAAGTCAGGAATCGAACCCAGGCACTTCTTGCTGTAAGGCACAAGTGTTAGCACAGCGTCAGCCTGCTGGCGGCAGGCGGCGTCAGCAGCGAAGATGTAACCGACTCACTTCTGCCAGATCTTCTCCCCCAGGTGCACGCTCTTGTAGTGGATGTTCAGGTGGTCCCGGCGTCCAAAACACTTCCCACACTCCTCGCACATGTGAGTGCGCTCCCCTGCAGTGCACACCACACACACGCATCACACACCACACACACACACACATGCATCACACATTACACACACACGGATCACACATTACACACACACGCATCACACATTACACACACACGCATCACACATTACACACACACGCATCACACATTACACACACACACATCACACACCACACACACACGCATCACACGTCCACGCATCACACATCCATGCATCACACACCACACACACGCATCACACATTACACACACACGCATCACACATTACACACACACATCACACACCACACACACGCATCACACACCCACGTATCACACACCCACGCATCACACACCACACACACACATGCATCGGGCCCTCATTGGCTCACTTGGAGCTGAGTCAACCTAGGGGAGGCCCAGGACCACTTTGAATAATCGTCACTGGTGTTGGCCATGAGCAGGAATCAACCTCGTGTTTCTGAGTTCATAGAAAAGTGTGCTAATCGTTGCACTACCACTTCCCACACAGCCACACACATCACACACACATCACCATACACACCAGTCGCCCACACAGCCGTTCACACTACGAGTCGCGCACACACCCAGGCGTGTGGTGCTGCGGGGTGTGGTGCTGCGTGCTGCGCTGCGTGCGGTCAGACCGGAGTGAGTCTTCTTGTGCTTGGAGAGGTGGTCTTGTCGGTTGAAGGTTTTTCCGCACGACTCGCACTCGTAGCGCCGGTCCTCCTGGTGCACACGCACGTGCAGCCTGCACACCGCACACATCGCATGGCACACACCACACACACCGTAGCACCACACGGCACACACCACACACACCACACCCAGGTACATGGCACACACCGCAAATGACAAATACTCCATTATGCCACAGCAGCAGCCGCCATTTGTCACTAAAAGACGGCGATGTCATCATGGCACTTGTGCCAGGCTAAGTGCACTTTCAGGCCGCACGTGAAGTGTGGAAGGCTCGTTGCCAGGAGGGCAAAGATGCAGGTGTTATGGGTTGAATGACTGAAATGACTGGCAGACACACCACCTGTGCTCCCAACTGTGCCAATTAGCTCTGTGTTAACCACTCAGTGGTGCGCTCGTTGTTGTGTTGCTTCTCTGCCCTTCGTTTTTGCTGGAGGGTGACTGCCTTCAACCTTCTAGAAGCCTCAAAGTGCACCTAGCCTGGCACTGCTCAGTAAGTGACATTCACGAGCCTCCTCCACAGAGGCCAATCTTGACATAGCTAGTATCAGCCATTGGCAAGCCCAACCAGCTCCACATCCTCCTGTACGACATGAACCCATCTCTTCTCCAGCCCATTCCGTATTCGTTTAGCTCCCTCTATCCGGCCAAACAGCAGTACCTACAGGTGAGGGCGCTCACCTGTAGATGCTGCTGTGGCTACAGCTGAAGGTCCTCACCTGTAGGTGCTGCTGTGACGGAACCGTTGCCCACAGACACTGCAAAGGTGTGGCTTCTCTCCACTGTGGATGCGCATGTGTTCCTTGAGGGTGGTCCTGTGGGCCACGGGGACAAATGACACAAAGAGAAAGGTCCCCTGTGTAGCCTGCACAGTTACACGTTCACAGGTCTACTAAGTCGTCTTATGCGTACTGTGTTCATCCACCATAAACAACAACTCGCTCGTTCACTCACACACTCACTCACACCCTCACTTGTTCACCCACTCACAGACTCACACACACACTCAAATGCCTGCTCAATCACTCACACACTGACTCATCTGCTCAATCACTCAATCGCCCACTCACTCACTTTCCCAATCACTCAATCATCCACTGACTCACCACACTGCAGGCGAGGTGCTGAGTCATCATTTGCTGCATAGGGAAAGCTACCACTAGGAGGGTCTCCTCTGAGATGTGAGATGTGATGCAAGTCGCGCATCGTGGAAAAGCGCTCAGAGAAACCCCCCACCCAGCATAACAGAGGGGGCTCTATCAGTCACAACTCCGTATCGTTCTCATCGTCATCACGCCGGGGGGCACGTGATTATGTGGGGGCGGCACACCTCTCCCGCACGGCCTTGCCGCACACGTTGCACGTCCACTTCTTCTTGCCACCGTGCGTGCAGTCCACGTGGCGCTTGAGGTTGCCCGAGTCGTTGAACGCGCGGCCGCACACGTTGCACGGGAAGGGCCCTATCCCCAGGCACGCATGGTTGCAGTCAAACTCAACTCTCCTTCATCCCGGGGGTCAAGCAGTCCACTTGAGAATCGATTACTTATTCGGAAATCATCGCGGTGAACGTTGCATCTCACGGAAACGTGGTGGGATAGAGAGACAGGGGGTTGTGCATGGGACACACAGGAATATAGGGGACACGGAAACTTTAGGACACAGGGACATCGTGTTGCGCGTGTCAACAGAGGCACGTGGACGAGGAGTCACGGAGACGTGGGGAATCACGCGGGGACTTGGGGAAGTGGGGTCCTCACCCAGGTGCGTCTTCTCCTGGTGCTTGAGACGAGCGAAACGCGAGCGGAAGCTCTCGGGGCAGAATCCGCAGGGGAACGGCGTCGCCACCGTGTGCAGGATGCCATGCTCCTCCAGGTGCGCGCGCCGCTGGAACCATTTGTCACATACCTGGCACGGCAGCGCACAACCAGCACCATCGCCATCATCATCGCTCTCACCATCGCCGCCATCACTATGGCCGCCATCATCATTACCATCACCGCCATCACCATTATCATCACTGCCATCGCCATTATTTTTGCCGGTGATAGTCCAAATAAGAGGATATTCGGGACCCTGGATTTCCACTGCAGAAGCCGAGCCGGGCCACTGACATCACGCAATGAACACATCACGAGGTCATTAGCCTCGCCTCTGGCCCTGCTTGGCACTAATCCAGATGTTGTGTTGTGAGGCCACAGTCGTGTTGTCAGTTCCACAGCTTGGTTCTGGTTCGGCTCGGCAAACAGCCAATGGAACACCACCTTTAGTACTGCGAGGGCTCTGTGCCGTTCTGGCTCGGACACGCCAGTAGAAGAGGGTTAAGCCGAGCTACTTTGCCGAGGCCGAGATTTTAACAAACGTTATATCCATCTGTAGCGTCAACACATTTGACAAGTAATTTCAGGAAATACCGGCCAGGGCTGGACTTACACTGGCGCTCTCGGCAAGTTAACCAGCGAATCACACAAATCTCCCCTCCTCTCCGTCTGCACCGACTTGCGCGCAGCAGACCCTGCCCCTCACCTGGCACTGCAACTGAGGGCGTCCCTCCCTGGCATCAGCATCCGGCTCGGAGTCTGCCTCCTCCGGCCCCTCGTCCTCTCCGGCTGCCGCAGCTGCCGACGAGGGCCCGCGCGTCCCCGGCACCGTCACTGTCGCTCTGTCGCCCCGCCGGCCCGGCCGGGGCCCGCGAGCCGGCCGTAGTCCAAGCCGGCGGCCGTGGCGCTTGGCGTGCGCCGTGAGGTTGGACTTGGAAGTGAAGCGCTGGTCACACATTTTGCAGGAGAAGGGTTTCTCGCCCGTGTGGATGCGCACGTGGCACGCGTACTTCCCTGGCGAGGAAAACGGCGTCGCCCTTCAAGACCACGTGTGGCACTGCCCGTCAACACACCCACGCACAACCGTGCCCCGCCATGGACGGCCGCCCATTCACTCATCCGTGTTTAAACTTTTAATCTTTATTAGGGCCTGGCCTTCTCCCGTTACCTCCAATCTGCCGATGTAACCCCACAATATCTCGCCCATGTTTTTTTCATGTTGTTTCATGGGTCCATGTTCGACGCTTCACCCCGCATGCTATAAACTTCTTCCGGAACTTAAGAATTTCAGCACTGGGAGCTAAACAAGCTCCCAGCACGTGGGGTCAAAACATCTGACACTGTGGTTAACGACATTCGGCACAACCCAAGACCACATCGGAGAGCTCTCCAGCGCCTCAACCGCAAAAGCCTATGCAGCTGTCAAACGTCAGTGTCCTTTCCTGCTCACGTGAGCAATGAGGCATTGGCACTATCTTGTTTACAGCCCTGGTGGAAATTACACTTCCTATGGCAGAGATGAATCTATCAATAGAACCACTGTTAATCCCCGTGAAAGGGTAACTCAGTTTATGAACTCACACCACCTTTCAATTGTGAGCCGCTCGCTCTGCCCGCTCTGCCCGAGCCACGTGGCCGGCTAATTAGCAGCGCAACGCAGCAGTACCACCCCACGCCAGTTCAACGCCCATACTCCGTGCAGCAAACCGCAGCCCAAACAAATCAGTGATGCAACGACACCACCCCACGTGCCTCGCATTGTTCAGGCTCCATCCTCACCCTTCCTGTCGAAGGCCTTGTGGCATCTCGGGCACTCAAACAGCCTTTTCCCTCCGGTGGGCAGCAACGGCGCCAGCACGGGTGGGATCCTCCGCTCCGCGAGCCTCGCCCGGGGCTTGCGGGCGGACGAGATCGTGCCCCGAGCACCGTCGCTCCTGGCACCACCACCGTCGCTGCCTCCCTCCTGCTCCTCCTCGTTCTCCGCCTTCTCGTCTTCCGCCGTTGCCGCCCTCTTGTCCTCATCATCACCGTCTCCAGGCTTTACGTCGGCTCCACCCGGTGCTATTGTCATGGCCGCAGCTTCATCCTCGTGTCTCAAAATGTTGTTTTTTGCATCGTCGTGGTAACCGCTTTCCACTGGGTCGTCGGTCGCTATGGCGGCGGCGCCGACCTCCTCGTACTGCCCTGAGGGTGCGATGACCCGGTCGGCGGTGCCAGCGCCGCCCCGGCAAGGCCTTTTCCTCGGCAGCGCCGCACTCTTCTCGTGATCCGTCTGCAACCCGCTCCTCCGCGAGGACCTCCCCGCGGAGTTCGAGCAGGATGAGGAGACCGAGAAGGAGGAGGACGGGGGTTGCCGCGACGCCGTTTCTTCTGTTGCCATAGAGACGCCAGCAACACTCAGTTTCCGCTTGGTGGTGGGGCACGGGGTACGCTGGGAACGCCGCGTTTGAGCTACGGTGGTGGCCGCTTTGTCCTGGGGTGTCACACCGGGCGTCACATTGAGAAACACACCACCATCACTGGCGCCAGATAGGCCCTGTTCGGTCCGCTCGGCGGGGTGATGTCGCAGTACGTGGTTCTCAAAAGATTTCTTGTAGGTGAAACATTTGGGACACGCGGGACACCGATAGCTGGGGGCGGCACAGCCGGTGCCGCTCGGGACCGGGTCACTGGCATCCACACCGACCGGCCCGGCACCACCGGTGCCACCACGCCGGTCATCTGGGCTGGTCCCTGCCAGGTTGCTGGTTTCCCCGCTGCCGTCGCAGCCCGACGACGTGCCGGGTTCCGCCGGTGCCTGCGCGGGACCACCACCATCAACGTCGGTGCTGTGTCCCAGCCGCTCTCCGAGTGGCACCGCCTCCGCGTCCCGCGCGGTAAGCACCCGCACCGCTTCCTCCATCTGCAGCTCCCTGGCCGTGCCCAGAACGGCCGAAACGTCACTCGACTGCAGCCGGAACTCGGCGGTGTAGAGGAACTCCATGAGACGCGCAAACGCGGGCGATGTGACACTTCCCACGCCCATCGTCGTCGGCACCTCCTCCTCGCCGGCGCCCGCCTTACCCAGGCGGACGGTGGCACAGCCGCAATGGTGCTGCAGCAGCGAGCCGAGGTACGAGCTTGCCATGGCCAACACGGCGCGGTGCGCCGGGAAGCGCCCGTCCTGCACGGCGATGGTGACGTCGCAGAACCGGGCCTCCCCGAGCCGATCGTCGTTCAGCCTCTTGAGGAGGTCGAGCGGGTACAAGGGGGACTGCACGATCACCTCGCTCTCGCGCCGTGCCCGGGGAGAGCCGGTGCCCTCATCCGCGCCGTTCTCCCCGACGAGCGGCGCCGACGCAGCAAAACCACGTGCCGACTCGGAGCCCGGCGAGACATCCTCGGACGCGTCGCCCTCCATCTGTGCTCCGACGACGTCGTTCACGCTTTCCCGCAGGGGCTCGGCGGTCGACTCCTCGGCGTTACCCGGCACAGTGTTACCCGCGAGCTCCACAGAGCGGCCCGGCCGCTCCGTTACCACGTCGCAGGTGGGCGCGCTCACCAACGTCGTCACCACGGCCGCATTATCACAGTCGCCAACCGTCTCCACAAAAGGATTCCACCTCTTCCACCACGTTCCCTTCGTCCACCTCATCCCTTCGTCCACCTCATCCTCCACACCCCCCACGTTTTCCACACCCACCTCGTCGCCAATTGCCCCCTCGCCTCTCTCATCCACCATACCCTTCTCATCTTCCACACACACTTCATTCCTCATGCCCCCCTCGTCATCCATACCTCCTTCGTCCCCCACACCCTCCATATCTCCCACGCACTCCTCATCCCCCACGGCTCCCACGTACACCTCATCCCCCGCATTTCCTACACCCAACTCGTCCCCCACGACCCCCTCGTCCTCCCCGACCACCTCATCCACCACGACCCCCTGGTCCCCCACACTCCCCTCGTTCCCTACGCTCCCCTCTTCCCCCACTCCACCCTCGTCCCCCATGACCCCCTCACCCCTCATTATCCCCTCATCCCCCACGTCCCCCACGCCACTCTCGACCCCCATTCCAACATCGTCCCCCATAACCTCCTCATCCCCCACGACCCCCTCTTCCTCCTCATCCCCCGTGCCTTGCGTCTCAACCCGGTCCATCATGGCCAATTTATCGGCAACACGGTCGTCAACGTCAACAGCTGCGTTCCCCCGTTCTGTCCCGCCATGACCACGCTCCTCCCGCTGCTCCCCGTGAGCACGGCCGTCATCTGGGCTATCGGTGGCCTCGCCGTCACCTCCGGCGCCGTCTGGCTCCACGTGGCTCCTCTGCATGACGTGGCGCCGGTCGACGGAGATACGGGCGCGTGGACGAGGTATCATGCGGTGGCCGCTGGGTTTTTTCCGGGAATTCGCTGGTCGGCCTACAGGGAGGGATGGAGATGCGCGGCGGCACAGCCAATGTTGGCGATGTTGGCGTCTGCAGCTCGTGAAACCTCTGTGCGCTGTGTCCACTGCCCCTCGGCAGGCCTGGAGCGTAAACGTGTATTAAAGAGTGGGCCCAAAGAATAATTCAGTGGGAGCTCGACACAACCAATGTTAACAAACCTAAAATGATCGTGCAAGGTGGTGGTGCAGTGGTGACCACTCGTGCCTCACAGTGAGAAGGGCCCCGGTTCAATTCCCAAATCGGACGTTTTTTCTGGAATGTGTATCTTCTCCCCCTGTTCTGCAGAATGAGAGTCTGTGAGATTCACTGTGCGAGGGTGAGTGAATGCGAGTCGAGTTTGTGCGTTCCCACACAGTGTAACATCCCAGTGCTGAATATGTACCTGCACATTACTCAATCGGGATTACACACAGCATCAACATGGCTCCCGACTTAAAAAATGTGGCAGGACCCTCCTGAGATTAAGGAGTTATTGAGACTCCGTGAGGCTTTCCCGGGTAAACAATCTGCGTAATAATCATAACATCACTGCGACCACATAACTATCACTATTAGCATCGACATTAAAACCATCACAGCAGCACCACTGCTAACATGAACAGCATCACGAACCTCAGATCATCCATCACCGAGTCTCTCCGTGTTTCTAGAACACCCTTGCTTGGGATTGCCTCCCTTCTTCACTCCCCGTCTCTGCATGTCGATATTGAACCGAAATCCTCTCTGCCGCATATTGCTCTCACATTGTTTGCACTGCGTTGTTTCGTTCTCGTGTTCAACGAGAACGAAACACAAAAAGCAGTTCTAAAGAAATACATTTCCAATTCAGATTTAAAAGGGCAGAAAGCTCCAGTCGCTTACGAACATTTGAAGAGCATTCCAGACGGCCGCAGAAGCGCATCCGAAAGCGCGCGCCGCCTTTGTTCGATGGCCAACCACAAGGCGCTGCTGCTGTGAGCACGGCGACCCGAGTTCGCCTGATGTTTAATGCTCCTTGACAACTCGTCTCTTCGCTGTGCACTATTCCTTCAGGACCCTCCCTGGACTCTGCAATGTCGATGTGTTAGTTTGTGTCGCTGGCTGTGCTCATACACACAACGGAGCTCCCGTGCAAACTAGCGGGGACATCATCCGTGTAACAATTCAGACAAGCTCATCACTCGCATCATCACGAGACGATGTGATACACTCGGGCCTGAAGCTTGCGTTGCACCAGCAGGGGCTCAAGCGGTGAGCCGGCCTGCTGATGAGACACTGAGTGTCGAGACCTGTGCAGAGTTTCACCTCAAGTCATGCACCGGCCGCGTGGCTGATGGGATGTGTAAAGCACGCGTGGAAGACTGCACGCAGACTGCCCCTGCCTGGCTATGTCGCTCCGCAGGGGGGAGGTCATTCGGTCAGCGGGGGTCAGCACGGCCTCACCTGGACTCCCTGGACGAGGGCGACCGGATGACGAGGTAGGAGAGGGCAGGCGATGGGGAGCGAGATGATGGTGATGATGGTGTGTTACTGATGTCAGTGATGATGGTGGTGTGTTACTGATGTCAGTGATGATGGTGGTGTGTTACTGATGTCAGTGATGGTGGTGTTACTGATGTCAGGGATGATGGTGGTGTGTTACTGATGTCGGTGATGGTGGTGGCGTGTTACTGATGTTAGTGATGATGGTGGTGTGTTACTGATGTCAGTGATGGTGGTGGTGTGTTACTGATGTCAGTGATGGTGTGTTACTGATGTCGGTGATGGTGGTGGTGTGTTACTGATGTCAGTGATGGTGGTGGTGTGTTACTGATGTCGGTGATGGTGGTGGTGGTGTTACTGATGTCAGGGATGATGGTGGTGTGTTACTGATGTTAGTGATGATGGTGGTGGTGTGTTACTGATGTTAGTGATGATGGTGGTGGTGTGTTACTGATGTTAGTGATGATGGTGGTGATGTTACTGATGTCAGTGATGATGGTGGTGGTGTGTTACTGATGTTAGTGATGATGGTGGTGTGTTACTGATGTTAGTGATGATGATGGTGGTGTGTTACTGATGTTAGTGATGATGGTGGTGGTGTGTTACTGATGTTAGTGATGATGGTGGTGTGTTACTGATGTTAGTGATGATGATGGTGGTGTGTTACTGATGTTAGTGATGATGGTGGTGTGTTACTGATGTCAGTGATGGTGGTGGTGATGTTAGTGATGATGATGGTGGTGTGTTACTGATGTTAGTGATGATGGTGGTGATGTTGCTCCCGCCCGGGCCTCCTCCGCCTCGCCTCGCCATCTTCGCCGACATTCAAACTCCGAGCCTCTCCCGCGGTTTCACTCCGAATCCCGCGGTGACGGACGGCGATGGTGCTGACGACGACGATGATGATGTCGATGATGTCGGTGATGATGTTAAAGAGGTGGGGAAGCAGCACAGAGCGCCGCACTCTTTCCCCTCCGCGGACGCGCACGCCGCGTCACGAATCCCTCCGCCGAGTGCTGCGCCCGGGCGCAGCACTCACGCAGCTGACGGGCGGGGTCACCCAGAGGCCGACAGCGCCAAGCGGCGAGCAACAAACAGCGCCGTCGAAGGCGTCGCTCGACGCCGTCTCCTGCACCGACAAAAAATGAAAGACCACGCAGTGGACCGCTGTGTTTGCGCTCCTTCGACGGAGGAGCAGCAAAACGTTGACGATGATCCGACCCCCACAAACTGTGATGGGTCCACGTGTGAAGAAGGCATGCGATGAGGCAGCACTCGCCGACTCACGCGTCACCCGCGGCCAACCCACCTATTGCTGCTGCCATGGTGTCTGTTCCTGTGAAACATGTGGAGGGGCTCTATCAGACAGTTTCGTCTCATCCGTACTGTGTTCAAACACTGCACTGCAGGTCACAACGCACTCTCACCCACCCACTAACCCACCCATTCATCACTCACCAACTTAAAAATCACCCACTCATCACTCACCCACCCACTCATCACTCACCCACCCACTCATCACTCACCCACTCACTTACAAAATCACCCACTCATCACTCACCCACCCACTCATCACTAACCCACTCATCACTAACTTACAAAATCACCCACTCATCACTCACCCACCCACTCATCACTCACCCACTCACAAAATCACCCACTCATCACTCACCCATCCACTCATTAACTTACAAAATCACCCACTCATCACTCACCCACCCACTCATCACTCACCCACTCATCACTCATCCACCCACTCATCACTCACCCACCACACTGCATCATTCACCCACACTGCATCACTCACCCACCCACTCATCACTCACCCACCCACTCATCACTCACCCACCACACTGCATCACTCACCCACCCACTCATCCTCCAGACAGTCTCGTCCCTTCACCTGATGAAGGCCACTTGTGTTGTGGCCGAAACGTCGTGAGAATTTTATTGTTATTTTATTAATTTATTACTTTATTCTCATTCTACGTGACTTTACCGAAAGAACCAAAGAAAATAACATGGCTGCTCTATTCAGAAAACGTGTTGCGATCTCTGATCACACATTTCGTCGTGCTGTTTGTTGCTGTCCGCTTGACGTTTTTGGGTCTGTGCTCTGCAACTGTGTGTATAATCAAACGAGGCAAAGGAGCAACATATCCACATGCCTTATTTTATTAACGTCAATGTGACCATCGTCATCGCCGTCACTGCTCGACTCGACACTATGTACACGGCTGCTGCGAATGCTGGACCGCCCTCGTTACCAGGCCAGTGTTATGATGGTGACGCTCATCATAGTGACGGTGGTGACGATGGCGCGCATCCCACATCGCTCACAAATCCACGACTCACGGACAGGCAGGTACACCACCAGCCGTGACTGCCAATGCCTTCTCCATGACTGCCCATGCCCCTATTGCCCTCGGCCAAACGCTTGCACCTCGTGACCACCCAATGCTTTCCTTGGCTGCCCCATGGCCTTGTGACCATTGCCCCCGTGACTACCACGATCCCTGTGATTGTTCATGTCCCTCGAAACTGTCTGTGCCCTGCGTGACCGCGCATGCACCCTGTGCAATATCGTAGCCTGGTCGGCACTCCCCCCCGCCCCAGACTTTTATTTGGTGACGTCTGGGCGCCTCTGTGAGGATCCAGTGCAGCCGCATCACTGCCCCTTGTGACTGCCCCGGTCACTTGCGAATGAGTCTCTCACCCTGGTCTCTTGAACCGCCACCTGCTCAGACAGAAGACACTGCGCCCAAACGTGACTGCCCGAGCTGCACTGGTCTACCCTTGAGGCCTTGCCCTCTGCGACTGTCCATGCCATCCCGCAACTGCCCTTCGAGGGTATTTATGCCACCCCCCGCCCCGACTTCAGCTGCCACCCCCGGCTCTGCATCATCCTTACCCTGATGATTGGTAAACACAGACAGGTGCGTTGCCGAGTTTGACAGCAGCTGCTGGAACATGTCCCGTTCCTTCCCTAGCCCCCAGGATGTCACAACACGAAGTGTGGTAAGGCTGGGCGGGCTGTGCAGATGGGTGAAAAGAGGGGGGCCTTGAGACAGTGACACGGAGAGAGACACACGGGCATGGGGAGAGAAGCGCTCAGAGACAGAGACCGAGAAATAAAGACAGACATGGATAGACACTTAGTGATGCACAGAGACACAGCAATGAGCCAGACACCTAGACACAGAATATAGACATTGAGACACAAAAACAGACACCGAAAGACATGAGACTGAAAGGTAATCACAAACACTGATAACATGGAGATACACAGAAATGATACAGACACTGAGCCACAGCAGAAACACCGAGGCACGTACACATGCTTTGTAGCGGTCCCCAAATAAGCGGGGGCCCTGTGCACATTCCCCATGGGCAGACGGAACGGGCCGCCTTGCACGCCTGTGAGCCGAGTGTCGACCCCACAAGGGCATCCGCGGCCTCTCTGCATTATGCAAAAACACCCATCAGCAGTTCCTGAAGAACTGCACTATGGGCCTCTTGCCTTGGGTCACCAGCAAAACAAATTTGAGCAAATGTGACACCATCTAACAGCAGCGATACAGTGAGACAACCGTGGTGAACCGGTTTCATCCGTGTTAGGACTCATCAGCACAGTATAGTAACTGATGCTCACTGCTGCAAAGTCTACCTCTGGGAACTATATATACTGTATAGCCATATATAAGTTGGGACCCCAAAAATTTTGTTAGGACCACAATTCAGTTCTTCAGGAACTGCTGATGGTTCAAGGCTCAATGCTTTTTGCACGTCTCTGCGGTGGTGTCGTTTGAAGTGTATGGTTTTGAAGCAGCCTGCACGCCGATTCTGTTAGGATTGGTGTTTTCTCGTCATTTACAGATTTTATGATTGGAGAACGTTATCGTGCGCTTAATAATCTCGATACTAACTCGTCGATCAGATGCATAGCTTCACCCCCTGCATGAACCCGCACTCTCAAGAGGCACGGCAATCACTCCGCACATTTTGGAACCCTGTCCGAGTCGGCAACAATTTACCACGAGCTGCGACGTTCACACAGAAATATCAAGACGCAAAGAATCAAGTGGAATGTCGCGCTTTCCCATGACATTCCAGCTCTCTCTAGATTTCGCTAAAAGTTACCAAAGATATACCAAGGGGTCAATTCGGCGTCGACTAGGCTCGATCCAGGCAGCCGGGAGAGTGGCTCCGCCGACCGCCAAGCGGCAACTTCGGCGGCACATCGGGCGGCACCCCCCCTCCCGTGGCGGCACGGCTCGGTGAGACCGGCAGAACGAGGGGGGTGCCCGGGGGGTGCGGAAGAGGGAGGGCAGGGAATGCCCACGGATCCCAAACGGGGGGAGGCTGGCAGGGTCGCTCCACCACCCCCACTCCCCCTTCACGAAGTCGCCTGTGACGTCCGACGTGCGTGTCGCAGGCCGTGGCGCCGCTCGCCGGCGCCGCAGCCGCGACTGCAAATTTCAATCGGAACGGCACGAGCCCCCCGCTTCTACGGAGCCGTGCGCGGGCGCGCCCTCGCTCGCGCCCGGTGACGGGGGCCGGGCGCGGCTTCATAGGGTGCGACGCGTCGGCGTCGTTTTGGTGCGAACGTCTCATGGGGCGGACGCGAGCTGCGTGCGCCTGCCCCGGGACGACTCGCGCTTTTGATTCCCCGTACGCCGCTCGCTCCGCTTCCTTATCCACCCACAACTCGCCCACTAACCGGCCGCTTGACCACTGGCTGACGACCCCGTGATGGACGCGCGTGAGCAGAGCGAACGAACCGCCAACAAGAGAAAAGATACAATGCGTGTAAATAATAAAAACACTAATCGTTAAATACGAGTGGGAACTTTACACGTGGATTAGGTGCTAGAGGAAGCGGAATGGGTGAATGAGTTGTGCTCGCTCCTCCGTGCTAGTGTAGTGTCGGCCCCTGCTGCACGCGGTGGCCCTGGGGCACCGTGCAGGGGTCTTTGACCCTCTCAGCACCCCCCTGCGGTATTGCAAGCCCCCCCCCCCCCCCCCCCAAACTAAGTGTCCCCGCTCCGAGGCTCCGTGGGTCAGTGGTGGAGCCCCGAGCGGACCCGCACCCTCCCCAACTAAAATGCTCCGCTGTCCGCAGCCCGAGCTGGTGGGGTGCCCCACCCCGGAAGCTCCCCCCCCCTCTTTCCCACCCCATCACCGGTCTCCCCATGGCACTAGCAGGCCCCACCGCGGCCTCAGACGGTCTCCTTGCCCTGGCTCCCCGTGGCCGTCTTGATGGAGCTGAGCGTGCGGTTGAACCAGGTGTTGCGTGATGCCTGCACTTCATTGATGGCCACGCCCAGCTGATGCTCCACGTCCTGCAATGAGATGATACGCTTGGAGACGCAAGGAGTCACAAGGGGTCATGAACAGACACAGGGAAATCGACAGATATGTAGATACAGGGTGATACAACAAAGACACCAACGAGATCACAGAATACACACACACGCGGACACATATGGCGACACCTAAGTGTAGATACACGCACACACGTGTACACGCACGCACGCACGTGGCATCACATCACGATCGCCACGCGGCACGCAGGGGTGCCGACCCAGGCACGCACCTGGATCCGGCACTCGGCCTCCACGAGCTTGAGCTTTGTCTGCGCTAGCTCCAGCTCCATCTCGCGCAGCTGAGTCCTCAGCGTCTCCTTCTCCTCGTCGGGGTCGCGCTCTCCGCCGGCCGCCCCGGCGCCCGCCGCCGCGGCACAGAGACGGCCGTCCTCGCCAAACAGCTGGCGGCACTGCTCGCAGCCGGCCATCACTCCCTACCATGCGGGGCGCGAGAAAAGACAGGCACTCGGACAGAGATACCCCGTGTAGCCTTCAACACTGCGTTGCGGCAAGTGCTGTTAGCGGGTAGCGGTTATGGAGGCCGGCTCGGCGCATGTGGGGGTGGTGTGGTTGGAGCTGCCGCCTTTGTCTTCCCGGTGCTGATGTCTGCACATCGCGCCAGGTACTCACTGAAGGCTGAGTAGACCTAGGGTAGGTTCTGAAAATCATCACTGATATTAGCCATTGCTGGGAAGCGAACTCGGGCCTCCAGGTTCAAAGCACAGTGCGCCAGCTGCTGCGCTACCGCTCCACCGATCAATGGGTGGCATTGATCATAGTCGACCACAGAGCTCGCTGCCACAGGCGTGCGCTGCGTCACTGAGACTGTCGGTGAATGGATGTGCTCCTGATGGTGGCGTTTGTAATATGGTGGCGGGTTGGGAATGGCTGAACTCCGTTGATTTGATTGTGGAAGTGAAACACAAGCTCCTGCGCTTACCCTCACGAGCTCCAGCTCCTCCTTGTTCGCTGCTTGCTGCTTCTCCAGCCGCGTGCTCAGCTGGGAGCAGATCTACAGAGACGGCCGAGTCACAGCCACTCAGCACGGGCGCCAAGCACTCATCACACACACACACGCATGTACAATAAGGGTGTTTTTTTCCACCGGCCATTTGCCGTGCCAAGCCAGAACCAAACCGTAATACGCCACTGGCCTCGCAAGGCATCTGAATCTGGCTCGAGGCAAAGCATGACCAGGGGTGGGGCTAACCATGTGTTCACTGCGTGTTACGTCAGCACGCTGTGAGGACCAGGCGTCACTGCGGCATATACACAAGGCTCAACACAATCGTCGTGTGCGATGTGAGCGGCACAGCTCGGCTGGCGCCTCCTGAACTGCACTGAGACTGGCTTGGCACAGGCCCAGTTCAACTTGGTTGTGCAGTCGAATTAAGTTTCTGGGGGGTCGGGGGTCGGGAGCCGACCTGTTTGTAGTCAGCGATGATGGAGCTGCTCTTCTTCATTTCGGCTTCGGTCTTATCGAGCTCCCGGCGACACATTTCCTTGAGCTGCGGTTCCAGTGCACAGGACAGTGCACGGGGTGACGCGGGGAGGCAAGTGGAGGCGCACAGGAAGACACGCACAGGGGCACAAGGAGACACACTTGGTTACTCTCTAGCCACACTCCCACGAGCTCGCACTCTGCCATAACTCAGCCTTAGACTTGGTGGGTGGATATTCGAATGCGGTAGAGACCCAGCTGAGACCTCACCTGGGACGCTTCGATCTCCAACCGTTTCTTCTCCTCCTCGGCCTCCTGCAGCTTCTGCTGCGTGAGGTCAAGCTCCTTGCTCAGCGTATCTGCTTTGTCCTCTGCCTGCAGGAAGCAGCGAGTGGCGAGTGACTTGCTCAGTGATTGGCAGCAGTGCGCCATGCAGCAAGGTTAAGTGTGATCTCCTGTTTACAGCCCCACAGGATCAGTGACGAACATTCCACATTCATATGGCATGGGCGAGTCTACCCAGAGGGCAACCACTGTTGATGTCCCCACAAAGCGGTACTCAATTTTATCAACGTGTGTGCAACTTGCGCAGGGCGGAGCAGTCGTGTCGTTGTTAGCGCACCGCGCTACTAACCCGGCAGCCCAAGTTTGATACCCAACCACAGCCAACATCAGTGGAATTATCAAACCCAGTCCTCCGCCTCCTCTCGGTCGACACAGCCTTAAATGAGTACAGTTGCAGTGTGTAAACGTGGGCACTGGAGAGAGAGAGACTAAGGTGGCCATGCATAGTGCTGGCCACCCACCCAATTGTGCACCGTGCCGGCCTTGACAACCGCTTGCTTAACAGCCCTTGCCCTAACAGGTTGCGTAGGCTACGCGGGGGACCTTTGCGTGCGTGTGTGCACGTGGCAGAGGCTCACGTTGTCGAGGTCGTTGCGCAGGGCGATCTTGCTGGTGACCAGCTCATGCGCCAGGTCGTCGTTCTCCTGCTCGAGGCGCAGGTTCGCTTCCTGCAGGCGCCGGTTGTCGCGCTGCGCACACACACGGGGCCCGCCGCGGCAGTGCGGTGTCACCACCACTCAGCCAGGGTGAGCGTGCCGACTGGCAGGTGCGCACCGACGCGGCGATTGCATCGACGGAGCGATTAAAAGCGCTTCTCAAACCGAATTGAGCGAGACTTTTTCAGGCAGAGCTATGGAAATTCAACGGCTGTGATCCAGAACACTGGACGCAAGGGGATACGAGCACGGGGATACAGGAGCAACAGGGAACGTATGGACACGGGGATACGGGGAACAGGCGACGTGAGATCCTGTCACGCGTTGCCCCCCCCCCACCTCCAGCCTGTCCAGGGGGTCCTCCTGCTGCGCCTGCTGCTCCCTCATCGTCAGGTACTCCTTCTCAAACTTCTTCAATTTCTTCTGCGTGATCTGGAGCGGCACGGGGAGACACCGCCGGTAACAAGGATGACAATGATGATGTTGGTGTGCAGCATGGCAAGGATGTCAGGATCCACCACAGTGGAGGAAGACCTCACAAACGGTGAGCTGTCGATACGCACTTTTAGATTTTTACGTGAAGAGACAAATTTGGGAAGGAGGTGTGATTTATCTGTGATTAATAGTATCCACAAGTGATGAGTAATAATATGTTTTGTATTCTATAGTTTTGCGTCAAACTAGGACCCATTTCGATTTAAAGCTTTCGTGACTGCAAGGATTCATCTTCTTTGGTTCTTTCGGTAAAGTCACGTAGAATGAGAATAAAATAATAAATTGATAAAATAAAATAACACAATAATATTCTCACGACATTTCGGCCACAACACAAGCGGCCTTCATCAGGTGAAGGGACGAGACTGTCTGGAGGACAGCGCTGTCCTCCAGACAGTCTCGTCCCTTCACCTGATGAAGGCCGCTTGTGTTGTGGCCGAAACGTCGTGAGAATATTATTGTGTTATTTTATTTTATCATCTTCTTTGGTTCTTTTTTATCAATTTATTATTATTTTATTCTCATTCTACGTGACTTTACCGAAAGAACCAAAGAAGAAGAATAGGACCCATTTCTTAGAGAGGGTCTTTGCCAATAAATGTCAGGCAGTTCAGCATTCGTTCAGCTGCATTGTTGAACCAATGCTGCTGCTAAGATGCACTCCCTGAAGGCTGCGTGTGTAGCTGTGGGATGTGTAAAAAAAACACTTTTGTAAGTGGAGAGACGAATATGGGAGGGAGGCATTATTGATCGCGTTACTACGCACACACGTCTGGCCACGTGGTGACTCAGCCAGTGATAATCACGGTCATGGGTGCCGACTCATCCCATCGTCATCCCTCCATCCGGGGCCAAAATAATGAACGCCGCTTTGTGGGAAACATCAACAGCAGCTGTCCTATGGATAGCCTCGCCCCGCCATAGGAGCGTGGAGTTTGCACCGCTGGCCCAGAGTTGTAAACGGGGTGAGGAGCACGGATGATGCCTCGGCGCTTGCACAAGCTGCAGGCCACCGTGACTACTCCACTACGCAGGGGGCAGCACTGCCGGGGAGGGTGGGGGGAGGGTAAACTGTTCAGGTGCGGCGGTGGGGGAGAAACAGACCTTCATGCTGCAGGCCAGCTCCATGAGCTTGCGTGCGTTCTCCTCCGAGCGGTAGCGCTTGGGCAGCTGCACCCGGAAGAACTTCAGCGTGCCCTCAAAATCCGTCTGCAGCAGGTCATCCTTGGACGTCTGGGCAAGCAAGGGTGAAGAGAAGTGAGCAGGAGGAGCAGTCATGGACTCCCTTCAGAAGATCATTCTTCTGATCTTGGTGAGTACAAGGCAAGGGTGGTGGCGCATTGGTGCCTCACAGCAAGAAGCACCTGGGTTTGATTGACAAATGGAGCGCCTTTCTGTATGGAGGTTGTATGTTCTCCCCTGTCCTGCTATGGTTTCTTTGGGGGTCTCTGGTTTCCTCCTAAACCTAAAAGAACCCCACACAATGTGACTGGCATAGGTCAAACTTCCCCATGCTAACAAATTTGCTGCAAACGACTCATTTGGGATCAGCAGCAGCAGCAACATCGCCCTACTGTCAAACATGGGAGGACCCTCATGAGAGGCTTGAGTCTCAGTGAGGCTTTCATGGGTAAACACGTGGAACCGTAACTGTAAGTGATCATTATTTTAAAAAAGAGAGGTAAAGGCGCAGCCCTGCAACTGGTCACTCGTGGCACTGCTGGCAGAAGGTCCAGACACATTGTCTGGCTGGAGGCAGGAATGGTCTTCAGGAACTTGACCGTCGTTTCAACTGCCGCTCCGAGGCAGAGTCCGCGACCGTTACACCACGACAGCATTGACCTTTGCACACAGAGTTCTACTCAGTTATTAGTTACCACTGTGCCCGGCCTTTGATGGCTATGAAGAGGAAATTTTGCCAAGAGGAAATCGACGCAGTCATCTAACACAAATCGATGCCCGGACAGAGCAAGATGCAGAATGTGAACACTCGCTTAGGGACGGCACACCGAAATCGCAGCACGAGAGACGACCAACAAATGGACGTGAGCAGGGGAGTCGCACGCGTGCACACACGCTTCGCGACAGGATGCTCGATGATGTCTTCTGATAATTGGAGGAAACCAAGGGAAAAATAATAACATCTCTGATTCGCTGAGGATATAATCATTGTGGCCTCCGATAGGAATGAATAACATACAGTGGACATACACCCAGGTGGCCACCTCCACATTCCTCAACACCATCACCACCATCATCATCATCACCTTCACATGCCCACCACCACACCTCTCAACTATCTCATGCTCACTCCTGGCCATTCCTTCCCACCCTCCTGCCCCCTCTTCTCTGACCTGCACTGACGAGCGTGGCGAAGTATGGTCAATCAACCACAAAGACCCACACAGCACGGGCAGAGACCCTTCATGTGAATAAAAACCTGGCAATTTTAACGCAAGTTATTTCCTCCTCCGTGTGACAATGATACGGAGTTGAGTTTGACAGAGCCGCCCTGCTTCATGCTGGGCGGTTCAGAGCGCTTTACACATGACAAGCGACTCGCGTCACTATACATTTGAAAGGGCACCCCCGGTGGCAGCTGTCCCTAAGTGGAAAAAGGTGACTCAGCACCTGGACTGCAAGCCAGCATTAGTCGAATTTGGACGAATTTGGACCATGCCGCGCCAGCACAGTGACCTACTCGATCGAATTACTTCACGAGATCTTTAACGTCCGTGTGAGCAGGCGGCGCATAGTATCTGTTCGTTTAACACACCGGCAGTATTAATCAGGACTGTTTGTCGGATTCCGACCGCGAACCTCTGCAACGAGCGGTTACCGTGGTACCCTGCATTAACACGGCGGCGACTTCTCTGTCACTGGGCCAGGCCCGTCGTCCACTTCGCTACCCACGTGTGGACGGACGCCGAGAGCCTCCAAACCTCCGTGCCCCGGCGCCGAAGCCAACGGCCGCGCATCGCACGCGCGGGAACCGAGCCGTCGGGCACCACCCACCGCCGGTCCCATCGCCGTCTCGTCGCTACCTCGCGTGCGTTTCCATGGCGTGGGGCGACCGACGGCAGGCAGGCGGCGGCCCGCCACCCTGGGTCAACCGGGGAGCACGCTCTGACCCCCGACCCGTAATGGCTCACGGCCACAACCGAGGGATCGTGGTTTGCGAGCGTCGACGGCCGACGCTGCGGCGGCCCGGTCGGTGGGATCCACGACGAGCCGGCGCCACCGTCTCAGGAGGCGCCCAAAACCCCAAATTCACCTTGCGAGCCCGCACTCAGCTGAGGGCGGAGCGCACCCAGAGCGAGAGACCCCCGCACCCTGTAACGACCAGAGCGCATTTTGTACCCAAGCACCAGGCAGGCACAGCCACCTGCACCCAGTGCGCGACTAACTGCACCCTGCAACCAGCTCCAGGCAGACCACACCCAGCTGTAAACAACCTGCACCCAGCATGCAACACTACACAGCCTGCACCCAGCACTAGTCAGTCACCACCCAGCACCAGCACTAGTCAGCCTGCACCCAGCACCAGCACTAGTCAGCCTGCACCCAGCGCTAGTCAGCCTGCACCCAGCGCTAGTCAGCCTGCACCCAGTACCAGCACTAGTCAGCCTGCACCCAGCACCAGCACTAGTCAGCCTGCACCCAGCACTAGTCAGCCTGCACCCAGCACTAGTCAGCCTGCACCCAGCACCAGCACTAGTCAGCCTGCACACAGCACCAGCACTAGTCAGCCTGCACCTAGCACCAGCACTAGTCAGCCTGCACCCAGCGCTAGTCAGCCTGCACCCAGCACCAGCACTAGCGAACCTGCACCCAGCACCAGCACTAGTGAGCCTGCACCCAGCACTAGCACTAGTCAGCCTGCACCCAGCATGCAACACTACGCAGCCTGCACCCAGCACTAGTCAGCCTGCACCCAGTACCAGCACTAGTCAGCCTGCACCCAGCACCAGCACTAGTCAGCCTGCACCCAGCGCTAGTCAGCCTGCACCCAGCACCAGCACGAGTCAGCCTGCACCCAGTACCAGCACTAGTCAGCCTGCACCCAGCACCAGCACTAGTCAGCCTGCACCCAGCACCAGCACTAGTCAGCCTGCACCCAGCGCTAGTCAGCCTGCACCCAGCACCAGCACGAGTCAGCCTGCACCCAGCGCTAGTCTGCCTGCACCCAGCACCAGTTAAGTCACCACCCAACACCAGCACTAGTCAGCCTGCACCCAGCGCTAGTCAGCCTGCACCCAGCACCAGCACGAGTCAGCCTGCACCCAGCACTAGTCAGCCTGCACCCAGCACCAGCACTAGTCAGCCTGCACCCAACACCAGCACTAGTCAGCCTGCACCCAGCACTAGTCAGCCTGCACCCAGCACCAGCACTAGTCAGCCTGCACCCAGCACTAGTCAGCCTGCACCCAACACCAGCACGAGTCAGCCTGCACCCAGCACTAGTGAGCCTGCACCGAGCACCAGCACTAGTCAGCCTGGACCCAGCACTAGTCAGCCTGCACCCAACACCAGCACGCGTCAGCCTGCACCCAGCACTAGTGAGCCTGCACCCAGCACCAGCACGAGTCAGCCTGCACCCAGCACTAGTCAGCCTGCACCCAACACCAGCACGAGTCAGCCTGCACCCAGCACTAGTGAGCCTGCACCCAGCACCAGCACTAGTCAGCCTGCACCCAGCACTAGTCAGCCTGCACCCAGCACCAGCACTAGTCAGCCTGCACCCAGCACTAGTCAGTCACCACCCAGCACTAGTCAGCCTGTGCCGAGATCCTTTCACTGGGGGCGTGACATCCAGTAGCTCGCACCCTGCCCATGGCGCTCGCTCGCTGGCGCAAACCGGCCCGACACACCCACGGGGCAGACAGAGCGCCCGTCGTGCGTTTACGTGCCGGTGCGATGAGATGGCGCTTCAGGGACCACGGCCCCGGAACGCCGGGCCTCCCGGCGGTGCTGTGCCGGAGCTGTTCCGGCACTTCCGGAGAGGGTAGTCTTGCGCGGCATCTAAATATAGCAGCGCCGGCAACGAGCAACCGGCGAGGAGAATCCCGCGTGGATGTGTTTCTTTTCCTTCTCTGCTTTACATTCGCGTGGCACGAGGGTTTTAAACGTCCCGACTAAAACACGCAACGCACGGCCACGTTGTCACGCACACACGCACACACGTGTGTGTGTCCGTGTGGCACGGAGCGGAGGCTGCGAATGTTGGCGCACTCCCTGCACGGCAACAACGAGGATCCTGCAAGGGAGGAGCGGCACGAGGCGAGCTCCCCCGAGCGGTGATGTCATCGCGCGCCCCAGATCCCATTACATCACTCGCAGCAGCAGCAGCCCGCCGACGTTGCCATGACGACCGGCAGGCCGAGGCCTAGCTCGCCATCCCAGCCTCCCCGGACGAGCTCCCCCTCCCCCGTGCTCACCCGCCCCATTGCACGGTCACCCGCCCCCATTGCACGGTCACCCGCCCCCTCCCCCGCTCAGACTCAGACTCACCTCCCCCCCCCACCTCCAAGCCAACGTCGCAAATTGACACCCCGGTGTGACCCCGAACCCCGAGGGCCATGTTGTTCGTGGCAGCTCCGCTCTGGCTCAGCCACAAACTCTCAGGCTGAGATCAGGCTAAATCCCATGGGTTGTTTCTATAAACAGATGAGTGGCTCACCCAGGGCCTGGCTCAGAGCCGGTTCAAGTGAAGGGCATGGCTTTGAACCGGGGCAAACTCGAGCCAGAGCCCAGCTTGAATTGAAATACACTGGGATCCAAGAAAGTGACTCACAGCGCCCCCAAAACCTGGCCCTCAAGGGGCCCCGATTTTGCCCCCGATCCCACCTCAGTTCCGACCGCGATATATCCCCCACACCATGACGCTGCACCCACAGGGACCTGAGCCTGCCCCCCACAGGGTCATGACGCTACTACAAAGGGAACTTGACTGTCACCCATCGTCAACAACAGCTATGATCAATCCTCAGCTGGATGAGGAGGTGTTGAGTTTATAGGTGAGGGGGGTGAGGGGTTCACGGGTGAGGGGGGTGAGGAAGGTGAGGGTTTCGCGGGTGAGAGTCTCACCTTTAGCAGAGCGAGCGCCACGTTGAAAATCACGCTCAGCCCCTGCAAACAGAGATGCACGTCTTGGCAAGTGTGGACACGCGCGCGTACAGTACTCGTTCGTGCATGTGCGCGCGTTGAGTTTGCGTGTGTATGTGTGCTTGTTTGTTTATGCCCGTGTACACATATGGAAACTTAGACGCACAGTATAATAATACAGTATTTTTTCCTGCCCTGCCCTCTGCTGCCCACCGCATATCCCTGCAGTGCCCTCTGACCGCCGGTTGGCGAGCAGTGGTCGCCCATCCTAGCACTGCCCAGGCCCGAACCCGCTCGGCTTCCCACATCTGCCGAGATCAGGCGTATTCCGGGTGAACGGGCCGAATTAAAGAGACACAGGTTACTGCCGTTAGTATTTGAAACCAATGAAAGTAATCTGTCTGTCACGCCCCAGCAGCCCGGAAGGCCAAGGCATTACTAGAAGAAGCCGCTGTTTTAAGCTGCTGCCCACGATTATGTGAATATTAATTCACACTCCGCGATGCAGAAGTGAGAGCAGAAGCGCCGGTATGAATCATATTCGTCCCGCAGCCAACGCTGTCTAACAAAAGGCTTTTGGGGAAATTTCTGTCAGCAAGCACCTATAAAGGCCGGCACGGCGCACAAGGGGGTGGGGTGTGGCGATCACCATGCCCGACCACCTTTGTCTCTCCAGGGCTTATGTTTACACATCACACCAGCTACATGGCCATGTTGAAGCTTAATCGACCTCGGGGAAGCCCAGTTCAGATATTCATCACTGTTATTGGTCGTAAGCGGGAATCGAACTCTGGTAGCCAAGTTTGTAGCGCAGTGCGTTAACCACTGCGCCACCGCTTCTCACACACAAACTCCCTCACGCTCACTCACACTCGTCATATCCCCTCTGCGGAAACATCAGCATCAAGGAATCAGATCCGTTGTGAGAAGTGGCGGTGTGGCGACGCGCGTGTACCACTGTTCACACACGCACGCGCTCCACTATGGAATTACCTCCTGTCGTCATTTCTTTTCCCCAATCTGTCACCACAATACCTTGCTCCACTCAAGAGACGAGTTTGGTCTCGTCTGTCACAACGTCCATTGCGCTAATTCGTTGCTGGTCACGTGGCATTTTTGGGCCCATGCTCAGCCAAAAATAATGTAAACACCTTTTTGTTATTCAAGGACACCACACACACGCGCGCGTGCATTCTTGCGCACGTGCATGACCGAGCCACAATGCCGCGGGGCTAGTGGATTATGCGATGCCCCTGGCAGTATTAGGGATTAGATGGGCGGGGGTGTGCCAGCTTGCATTCCGCCACACCCCTGGAGATTAAAACAGCGACAGATTCCAGGCTCCATCCCCACAGCGTCATCGCGGCCGGAGCCGCAGATGCCCAGGCCATCGCACCTCCTCGCCACCAACGCTCTCCGCCCTCCGCCAGATCTCGCAGCCGCTGCCCACGGCAGGTATCTGCCCCTAACGTGCCGACCGTGCCGCCTGTGCTAGGCCGGACTGGCTTCGCCAGCTATGCTGGTCACGCCGGCTGTTCCAACGGGAGCGCGGCGCACCTCGCAGAGCAGCAGGTCGATGATGTGGAACACCATGTAGAGGGGGAACTTGGCGGTGAAGAGAGTGAGGAACCACTGGGACGCGTACATGTGGGCCTCCACGTTCACCTCCGCAAAATGGGCATGGAGGTCCGGGATGTAGTCCTGTGTGCGGGAGAGGGGGGAGTAAACATTATTATCATCATCAGCCATGATAAATCCACTGCTGGATGAAAGCCTTGCCAATTCACCACCATCGCTGCCATCCCACCTCCTCCTCACCTGCATGAGCCTCTCGAGCGTGTAGAACTTGCAGTGCAGGTCCTCAAAATTCTGCTTGAAAAGGTCCCGCAGCCCGTACTCGAACATAATCTTCACCAGCACGCTGAACGCCTGCTCCTCCGGCATCTGGGACCACGGCACCGCTCGCAAATTCACACCGCCACAACCACCGCCGCCACCTACCACCACTAAACCATCGCACACCATGATCACCGTTGGTGCCTCACGAGGGGTGGGTTAGCTGCAGTGATTCAAACAGGAGGCTTTACGAAAACGATTGGCTCACGAGCGTTAAGGTGTACCTATGATTTAAATCAACGCGACCTCTGCCTTTTGTTTATATTTCTATGTGTCGGTGAAGGATGCCAACACCTCACATGAAGCTATTGGAGACAGGCTTCAGCAAGGCCTTTAGGGGACCCAAAATCCACTGGTGCGTTGTATTGAGAGTGTGGTGCGGTGTCAGTGTGGTACAACGCAGAGAGACTGCGGTGCTGGGTGACGGCGTGAGAAGAACTCACGTGTAGCAGCAGCACGGCTGCCAGGAACGACTGGCCCTGGCAGTATCCGATCTCCTCGTCATACACGGAGTAGGCCTGCACACAGCAAGGCCCGCCGCGTCACTCGGCACAGAAACACTTTTACGTGTGGTGCTGGGGGCTAGCGCCATGGCCGAGAACCGAGTCGACATCACCGCAATTCCAAGTTCCGGGCGTCGCATGCGAGGCCAATGAGTGAGTGAGTCGGCAAGGGGACGAGTGGGTGGGTGTCGGAGTTGGTGAGCAGGGGAGGAGGTGAGTGGGTGAGGAGTTGAGCGGGTGGGTGAGTGAGTTGATGAGTGGGAGAGTGGTCTCGCAGATATGCAGAAAAGTAAGTGAGAGGATGAGCGGGTGAGTAGGTGAACTGACGGACGAGTGAGTGGGTGACCATGGAATGAAAGAGTGGGACGGTATGTGAACGGCTAAGCGGGCAAGCGGACAGGCAGATACTGGACATCTGTGAAAACGAGCTTCATCCCTCAACAGAATCCTTGAGGATAAAGATTTTGATTCAGATGAGCGAGAGGTTGAGTGGGTGGGTGGGTGAGCGAGCAGGTCAACGTCACCTTGCAGATCTTGTAGAGCGAGTCCTGCCCATCTCCACCCGTGTCTTTGAAGTAGTCGTGTGCGGGGAACGTGCGGTTGATGTCACGAGTGATGACGCTGTCCTGCGGCGACTCCTGCACAACCGCGTACACCGGCATCGTAGAGCGGGTGACGAGCGGGTGAGTAGACGACCCCCAGGACAAGACATGCTTACACATACATGCGTGGGTACTCAGTAGTCACTCTTGATAATGAGACTATCCTTGTATCCTTGAGTTCCTGGTTTCCCACCTGGATAAACAAAGTGAACTTAAAACTTGGTTGCCAGACATTACTGGCAAAAGCAATCCATCTAAACGATGAGCCCTGTTCAATGCAAACATCAGTGCAGTACAAACTTATGATGCTGCACATCACCGCTCTACTGCGAAAACATGGCAGGACCCTTCTAACAAAGAGTCTTGAAGACTCAGTGAGGCGCTTACCGGGATAACGAGCGGAACAACGATAATGATGAAATGATAGCGGAACGGAGCTCTGCTCGAACGTGCTCTTGTACTTCTAGCCAGGAGATCCGGCCGGAATTCTGTTCAACGAAATGTGTCGTTCCAAAGTGTGCGTTCGCGCGACATCTGTCGTGCCGGGGTTGGCGGGCACCTTGGTGATGAGGATGCGGTAGTTCTCCACCATGCGGTCGTTGTTCTGGCAACCGGCTAGCAGCTGCCACACCTCCCCGCGCAGGGCCTCTGGGACCCCGGCTCGCACCAGCTGCCCCAGCTTGCCCGGTCGCACGCTCAGGTTTGCATGCCTGCGGGGCACGAGTATGGCACCGGTGTGAAGCCACAGGCGGGTGAAGCGCGGGGCGAGCAAAAGCGCGTGGGAGTG